TACAGAAAGATTCAATGAAACAGACAAGAAATTCACCCACAAAGATAGTTTCACGGTAACTGAAATATCAGTAAAAACACCGAAAGAACGAACAACTACTGAGCTCTACACCGTAGCACAGGAAGAAATGACAACACCTACAGAAATATTCAATGAAACAGACAATATATTCACCCACAAAGATAGTTTCATGGTAACTGAAATATCAGTAACAACACCGAAAGAACGAACAACTACTGAACTCTACACTGTAGCACAGGAGGAAATGATAACACCTACAGAAAGATTCAATGAAACGGAAGAAGAGTTGACATCCAAAAAACCGACAACTACTGAGGTCTACACTGTAGCACAGCAGGAAATGACAACACCAAGACAAAGATTCAATAGAACAACAGAGGAGTTGACACCAAGAAAAGGTTTCACTGTGACTGAAAAATCAGTAACAACGGAAGCATCAACGACTACTGACCTTTACACTGTAAAAAAGCAGGAAGTGGTAACACCAAGACAAAGATTCGGTGAAACAGAAGACGACATCACACACAAAGAAAGTTTCACGGTAACTGAAAAATCTGTAACAACATCAAAAGAACTAACAACTACTGAGCTCTACACTGTAGCACAGGAGGAAATGACAACACCTACAGAAATATTCAATGAAACAGAAGAAGAGTTGACACACACAAAAATTTCACTGTAACTGAGAAATCAGTAACAACATTGAATCTTTCTGAAAAACGGAAGCAGAGTTGACATCCAAAAAACCGACAACAACTGAAGTCTACACTGTACCACAGGAGGAAATGATAACACCCAGACAAAGATTAAATAGAACAACAGAGAAGTTGACGCCCAGAGAAGGTTTCACTGTGACTGAGAAATCAGTAACAACGGAAGCATCAACGACTACTGACCCTTACACTGTAACTCTGGGGAAAGTAACAACACCAAGACCAAGATTCGGTGAAACAGAAGACGACTTCATCCACAGAGAAGATTTCAATCTAACTGAAAAATCAATAACAAAGGAAGCATCAACGACTACTGACCTTTACACTGTAACACAGCAGGAAGTGGTAACACCAAAACAAAGATTCGGTGAAACAGAAGACGACTTCACACACGAAGTACGTTTCACGGTAACTGAAAAAACTGTAACAACACCAAAAGAACTAACAACTACTGAGCTCTACACTGTAGCACAGGAGGAAATGACAACACCTACAGAAAGATTCAATGAAACGGAAGAAGAGTTGACATCCAAAAAACCGACAACTACTGAGGTCTACACTGTAGCACAGCAGGAAGTGACAACACCAAGACAAAGATTCAATAGAACAACAGAAGAGTTGACACCCAGAGAAGGTTTCACTGTGACTGAAAAATCAGTAACAACGGAAGCATCAACGACTATTGACCTTTACACTGTAACACAGCAGGAAGTGGTAACACCAAAACAAAGATTCGGTGAAACAGAAGACGACTTCACACACAAAGATAGTTTCACGGTAACTGAAATATCAGTAACAACACCGAAAGAACGAACAACTACTGAGCTCTACACCGTAGCACAGGAGGAAATGACAACACCCAGACAAAGATTCAATGAAACAGAAGAAGAGTTGACACCCAGAAAAGGTTTCACTGTGACTGAGAAATCAGTAACAACGGAATCATCAACGACTACTGACCTTTACACTGTAACACAGCAGGAAGTGGTAAC